GCATATTCCCTGACTTGTCTTGCCTCTTGTTCTTCATGCTTCACTAGATTTTGCAGGATCCACTTAGACAGAGAGCTGCTATTGCTGAGTGCCAAGCTAGAGCTGCTGACACTTTTTAGTGCTGCTTTCAAGTCCCATGCTGCTCAGAACAGCAGTAATTACTGTTATGCTCCCCTGTCTTTTCCAGGCCTACACTGATGCCATATTCCCTGACTTGTCTTGCCTCTTGTTCTTCATGCTTCACTAGATTTTGCAGGATCCACTTAGACAGAGAGCTGCTATTGCTGAGTGCCAAGCTAGAGCTGCTGACACTTTTTAGTGCTGCTTTCAAGTCCCATGCTGCTCAGAACAGCAGTAATTACTGTTATGCTCCCCTGTCTTTTCCAGGCCTACACTGATGCTGGAGCTGATAGTTACTGGCTAATAGAGCTACCTCCAGTTATGGACCTTCAGTAGGAAAAAGATGTGCTCTGACCTCATGCTAGCTAACACAGAAATGAACACAGGGCAAAAGCCCAGTGAAGACAAGGCAGTTTGTAGTTTTAACAAGTGTCAGCAGTTTGAGGTAAAGACTATGGGGGCAAGGACTAGTATTTATCTTGGCCTGCCATTGCAGACACGTTAAATACTTGCAAAACTGACAGCCTAACTTTCTCTTTAAACACATCCCTAACATCCAGGGACCTGCAGCCCAGGCCATCTCCCATCAGAATCTAATAAGACTCACGTGCATGTGGCAAATGTTCACGGGGCCTTGTCTTCATAACTGTTCTAAGCAAATTTTGTTTGCAATCCTGGCTATTTACTCACTTCCTAACATCCCTAATGCCTAATTCAATGCATTTGTACAAATCAGATATTTGCACATTTGATATACTGAGATGTTTACTATTTAGATGCTATTTTTATCACGCTCCCTCTAAATTGGTCTCTCTTTCTTCAGCATTATCTGTGGTAATACTCTGTTGTACTCACATTAGATATATGGCCAAATGTAGGGCATGCTCACTGGATGGGAGATACTATCCTGACTCTGAGAGATTTGGAGGGTCATGGTGGGTTATCAGATGAACACGAGCTCCTACTGCAACGCTGTGGGCAAAAGTGCTAATGCAGTCCATGATTGATTCCTGCCCTATTTTCCATTTTGAAGAGAAACAGATTGCTCTTGAATGAAGCAGATGTTAAAGAGCTGCTACAAAGCTCAATACAGGGATTTAAATTATCTTTGTGGCTGTATTCTGATTATGATATAACTGAAAAATGTTTCATTTCGAGAATCATCAGATTCATCAGTGCAATAGTCTTCAATATCAACAGGGTTCAACCTGTGGCACTGGGAATTACTTGGCCCTTGAGATGCTACACTGTGGTCCCTTAGGGCAATGAAGTTGAGAAGACAATCTGTATTTGATCACAAATGGAAAAACTATGTTTCCTCAGCTGCACTGGGTATTTTTCAAATGGAAGAGTATGAATCAACCCCATTGATTTGGGTAGGATATTGTAGGAGAGTTTCAATGGAATTTAGGAATGGTATCTCTTCAATATCCAACAGCAGCAGATTCCATCCACTAGCCTTCTCTCTCTCTTCAATCATCAGTGATTCTGCCCATTCCTCTTCCCCATCTACAAGCACAGTCCAATAACCTACTGATTGTATCTCACTAACTATACAGGAACCTCTCTGTGCTTATCAAAATCCTTTCAACAATTCAGAGATTTAAATTAGCTCCTAGTGTTTCTAATATAAAGAAGACTTAAAATAATTTTAAAAATGTTAATCAACGAAGAAAAATAATGTACATTTCATCTAAAAGTAATTAATGTATTTCTAATTAAAAATCTGAAAACTAAAAATGCTTACAATTCTGATTTTTTCTGTGAATAACCCCTGATTTTAAATTTCATATGAAAGGTTCACTCAAGTTGTCTCAGACCAAAAATGTAGATAACATTTTACATTTTAAATAATCCATAGGGGAAAAAAAAACAAGGCAAAATGTGAATCTTGGATATAGCAAAATTTAAACAAACAAGATAACTGCATGCAAACATTTTTATCTGCTAGTATGTAAATCCTTGAAATTGAATCCATTATGCAACCATTATGCAACATGAAATTTCACATATTTTAACAAGATAATTCCATCAAATGAAAAAGCCATGGAAGAGAAAGAAATAAAAGTACAAGAGAAATCACTACAAGGTGATAAAAATACAAACAAGTCAAGGGGAGGTCTAACTCACTTTTAAATCACTAGATTCCTTATTACAGTTTTCAAATTAATCCTACCTTGTAAGCTATGAATTAATCCACACACAAAAATCTGTATCTGTCTATGTTATTTCTTTCACACTTAAAATAACTTGGAGAGAGTCCATATGGAGCTAGTGCACATGACTTACGAGGAGAGGCTGATGGATTGGGGCTTACTTAGTCTTCCAAAAAGAAGAGTGGGGGTGGAGAGATTTGATAGCAGCCTTCAACTACCTGAAAGAGTATACCAAAGAGGATGGAGAGGCTTAGTGGTGACAGATGGCAGAACAAGGAGCAATGGTCTCAAGTTGCAGAGGGAAAGGTCTAGGTTAGATAATAGGAAAAACTATTTCACTAGGAGGGTGGTGAAGCACTGGAATTAGTTACCAAGGGGAAGAGGGGTGGAATCTTCATCCCTCAAGGTTTTTAAGTCCTGGCTTGAGAAAGCCCTGGATGGGATGATTTATTTGGTATTGGTCCTGCTTTTAGCACAGGGTTGGACTCAATGACCTCCTAAGGTCTCTTCTAACCCTACAATTCTAAAAATGGCTGAATGAATTCTCCTTAAACTTTTCAGAGTTTAAACTATTCACCTTAGACCTAAAAGCAAACATGGTAAGTTCTAATTCAAATGGCAGACTCCACTAAGGTTGTAAGTGCCCGAAAGCAGATGTTTAGAATGAATTGCCCAGCTCAGCTTTAGTTATGATGCTATAAGAGCAGCTGTAAGCATCCTGAGTGTAGTGTTCTAAGTAGGGAACCTTTCCAGTTATCTGAATTGCATGGGGAGCACAGTTTTTATTTGAGTAATCAGGATTTTGGCTATTCGAGAGGACAGGAATCATTCCACAGTAGAATGGGCTCCCCCACTGCTGGGAGCTCATCCTCCTGTAGCTCTGGTGACTCCCAATGCCTGCAAGTACAAGATGCAGGATGGAGTCGAGACCCCTGCCACTGATTCTGCTCTGCCCCATTAAGGCCACAGCCTTCCGGGGACACCGCACCAGCAGGGATCAGGTGTCACTGGCCCTGTGTCAGTGCAGGGAGCCCTCCGCAACTGCACTGCCATAGCTCCACTCACTCCCTCCCTGACAGAGGGCTCCCTGCACTGCCGCCATTCAAGCTAGCCTCCTCCTCCTCACAGTCCATACTGGGTGTGTCTACTCTAATACCCGAATCGCCACAATCAGAATCCATTCCTTGTCCAGCATGAGATAAATGGGGGAGCAGGATGCAACTGGGATCATTTTGAGGCTCAGTTAACAGGGTTTCAGATACATATGTGAATAGCATATTCCATACAGCTGCAATGGATTTTTAAAAAGAAGCAACTCATGCCCTCCCACAAACACACTCACAGGAGGGTGAGAAGAAACTGCCAGGATCCTACACAGAATTTCTGACACATCATTCCCGACACATCATTCCCTTGAGGGGAGAGAAGATTAAGGGACCCTCTGAGGAAGAAGAGGCAGCAGACGTCCAACCCTGCGGATCTTTAGGGACAGGACCATCATGTTCAGCAAGAGTCATAAAACTATGGAATCCTGACCTAGCAGCGCTCCAGCTGAGAAACTCATATTGGGTCTCAAGGAGAGAGTAAGAGCAAGAAGTATGGGGGAAAATAATGATACCATTGACACAGAACCTTCATCCAGGAGAGGTCCTCCATGGGAACATGTGAAGAAGCAGAGTAGATGACTGAGTGGCACTGAGGTTTTCTCACCTTGATTTAGTACCAGAGAGATTACGTCTGTGACTGATTAAAATTACTTCTGATCACAGCTGTAAAATATCCAACTTACAAATCATGCCTAAGCATTATTTAGCTATAGAGGTCAGTAACCTGAGGGTGAATAAACTGGTTGCAGAGG